TGAGCTTTCGTCCATCATATGATGGACATCATCAGAGTTACAAGAATGAAACCCAGCTCTGAAGATGTCCATCATTTGATGGACGAAAGCTCAGCACGTTTTCACCCGAAACAAGGCAGGAAGACGCGTGGACTGCGTCAACATGAATATCATATAAAAGCCGAACGGCTGCAGTACAGCGATTTTTATCCGTCCCCATCTGGTGAGATCGACAAAATAATCTCTTCTTCATGCACTTTCATTCGAAATGAAGATCCCCCTAACAATAAATAGATGAGTCACATTAAATTGTTATTAATCTTATACTCATCTTTATCATCACCATTATTATTACTATTATTATTATTATTATTATTAATATTAATATTATCATCATCATCAAAATCCGGTTTTCCATCATATCTACTGAGCACACCTTGCAGATTATCTTTCGAACAGCCTTTTTTCTTCAACACAATTCTTTCATGCTTCAGTCTCTTTCACTGGCATTCTCGGATGCCTGAAGAACGCAGCACGCATTCGCCTCATAACACCGCGTCATAGAGACGGTAACTAGGCCAACCGGCTGCTCTCTCCACCCCGAGGGAGCAGGGCCAAAATTGTCGGACTAGAGCTCTGTAGAGTTGACGGCCAATAATAGACGGCCCCATTGTTGGCACCTCTCATCCAGAGCTTGCGTCGACTTCTTATGCCCATCCTGATTTGTACAAATCGGCTCCTCCAAGTAACAGTAATTTCAGTGTAAGTAGTTCTCGAGAATCTCAGTGATTTAAAAGTTGGAACTTACGTGTGAGATATGTTCACACAATTCAATCTATTAATTTAAGGTAGTAAGGGTACCGGTAGTTGAATTTTCCCACAAAAATATAAGTATACCTTACGCCCTCATTGAATTTTGCATACACTTGCTTTCCTAAAATATATTCCCATACAGGCTGAAGTGGATTGCCGTTTCGTCACCACATCGGTCCCATCAGCACCCAAAGCGGGACTCGAACTATGACAGTGAGGCGTATAATCCCACATTTAAACCACTATCTCGCATTGCCACGATACCCTTGGGTCAAGAGGCAGATGCAGATTTCCAGAAAGGCTAAGCATTTTCACATATCACATTCTGTGGGGGGATTATCGATTAATCAAAGGTGTATTTGCTATAATAATCGACTACACTACTTATAAAAGGAAAAAAAGTAGGAACTTAGGGAAGGAATAGTTTGGTTTTCCCACAATCCGATGAATTGGCCTCAGGATGTCATTGCATTTCACTTAACCTTACCTCCTAAAAGGCGCTTCACCCCGGATGGACTGGATTGGATTTTCAAGCCCATTTTACTGTCCCTCATCAGCAACCTCAATTTTATTCGGCAAATTTCCCAATTCTCTACCCCTCCACGAATGCCAGTTCGTTTCAGGGCAGATATGATATTCAAGGCAACACAAGTCCCTTCCAAATCACATTCGTCACATTCGTTGCCGATTAAGCAAGCATATATTTGTCCCTGTAATTTGATATGTCACTTATTTTCGGTATTAGCATGTCTCGATGATAATTCCGCCGTCTATCGAACTATTTCCACTCGCATTTGCCCATGCTCCGCCCATTCGCCAATCAGTTAGATAAGTCAATCTCTTTGAAATATGCCTTTTTATCATCTACGATCTGAGTTTAAATGCATTTGG